TAATGGAAGGTGCAAGGCGACAGTCTAGAGGCAATTGGTTCCACAGACGGGGGGCAGTGACTGAAAAGGCTCTGTCACCCTTAGTTTTCAAACGGGAACGAGGGACAGATAAAAGAGCCCTGTCAGTGGATCTTAAAAGTCTGGTAGATGACAAAGGGATAATAAGATCTTTAAGATAAGATGGAGCTTGATTGTTTAGAGCTTTAAAAACAAACAACAGAATCTTAAACTGAACTCTAAAATGGACCGGAAGCCAGTGAAGCGAAGCTAAAATTGGAGTGACATGGTCATATTTCTTTGCCCCAGTCAGCAGCCTTGCAGCTGCATTTTGTACCAACTGGAGGCGTGAAAGCGATGACTGAGGAAGACCTGAGTACGGTGAATTAGAGTAATCTAAACATGAGGTAATAAAAGCATGAATAACCTTCTCCAAATCTTGAAAAGACAAAAATGATTTAAGCTTGGAGATAAAAACTGTTCCTAACAACAGAATTAATTTGTTTGGACAAACATAATTCTGAGTCTATGATAACGCCCAGGTTTCTAACCTGTGAGGAAATGGAGGGGAAATGATTGCCCAGCTCATCAATAATATAAATTCTCATTTTTTGGGGACCAAAAACAATAATTTCTGTTTTGTTCTCATTGAGTTGGAGAAAGTTATTTGTTAACCATTTTTTAATATCTGAGATACATTCCAGCAATGGCTGAATGGAATCACCAGCTTTTAGTGGGAGGTACAACTGCGTATCATCAGCATATAAATGAAACGAAACATTGTGCTTCCTGATAATATCCCCCAGAGGGCGCATATATAAGTTAAAAAGAAGCGGCCCCAAAATAGAGCCCTGAGGTACTCCACTAATAATTGGGGCAGATGATGAGGAAAACTTGCCTAGCTCCACAGAAAAAGACTAATAAGGTGCCATTTGTTAATATTAGTTAATGTATTAACTAACATGAACGAACAATGATCAACACATTTATTACAGAATTTATTCATCTTTGTTAATGTTAGTTAATAAAAATACAGTCGTTCATTGTTAGTTCATGTTAATTCACAGTGCATTAACTAATGTTAACAAGCACAACTTGTGATTTTAATAATGCATTAGTAAACGCTGAAATTGACATTAACACAGCATAACTAATAAATGCTGTAAAAGTATTGTTCAATCTTAGTTCATGTTAGCTAATGTTAGCTAATGAACCTTATAAGTGTTACCCACATTTTTGTATATTAGTCTACAACACTGAAATAAATTTGTAAATATAAATAGAGATGCCTCAAGCTACTTTACATTCTCAGCTGTACTTGTACATAGAGTTCACTATGCTTTGTTTTTAAAGGCTAATTATAATATGTTCCTTACTGTTTAAACACGTTTGTCATTATTGCCCCATTAACTGTAGTAAAACCCATAGTAGGTTGGTTAACTGGGGGCATGGCATTGATCAGGGCAGTCAATGGCAGGTCATTATGTCTGTAGTGGAAGTCAGCCAAATGCTGAATAGTCTGGTCAATGCGGACTGCCTCGGGACCAGAGATGACCCACAGATGCTGAAGCCTCGATGCCATTTGGTCTGATTCTGAAGCCATTGCTATAGCTGTTTAATCTCGGTTACACTCCTCATGGATGATGAATTGGATTTATGTGGTGTTAAACCATTTTGGAAGAGCTTTTACTTGAGGATGAGAACCTCTTTTAGATGATGTTCCACGATTTACATAGTCCTCCAAATGTATGGCCTTTGGTATGGATGGTAAGACAACCAACCAAGGGTTTTTGTAAATAACACCCTCTTCCTCAGTTGTCCCGGTGGATGCACATTCCTGGCCCTCAGGAGGAAAAGGACAGGTTTCCCAGCTGGCTCTTCCCCAGCAGGATTGTCCCTTGCTGTCCCTTGCTCTGTCACATTGCTGCTTGGGCCTGGAGGGGTTAAAAATAGCCTAGCCCTGGATCCTGGACGGGGTGGATATTCAGCCTGATATAGCAATGGGAGACACATTTACGGCCGCAGTTGTCAGTTACGAAGCCAGGCGGGAAGAGAGACAAGACCGGAAAAGAAGAGGAGACGAGCCAAGGCTTCTGTGCCAATACGGGATGCAGATTCTCACAGAAGACACGGAGCAGGGATCAGAGAAAGCACATAAAAGATGATGTTCCGGACCTGAGGAGAAAGATAGACATGAAAGTTTGGGGGATTTCGCATTAGCTGGATAGATGCTCTGAAGCTGATAATTGAATGGGCTCCTGGGTACTACCTGAAGACTGAGGATAATGCAAACCCATAAAGCTAAGTGCATGTGAGCGAGAATCAATCTCCCGGTGAGCGATTTGATGTTCAGTGGTTGGTTATCACTGGAAGAGGCACAGTGAGTGCAGAAACTCGGTTGATGTAAAGTGTAGTGCAGCTTTTTTGCTAAGCTTTACCATGGGCAATGCGGCAATGTGTAAGGCATGTGGTTCAGGTAAAGGCCTGCGGACCATTGGAAGTGATCCATCTCTGGACCGTTACAACAGTTCTGTGGCAGATACCATGGTAAGACAATCTTAATAATATCCAGGTTCAGTAGAGGATTGTTGAGGTGATTTTCCTGCTGAAAAGTCCAGTTGTGTTTGTTATGTATTCAACTTTCAATGTTCTCTCTCTCTCTTTTTTTTTATTTTTTTTTTTAGTATGGTGATTGCAGTTAACATCTCATTAAGGATTTTCAACTTCTCAGATCTTGACTTAAAGGGACAGTTCACCCAAAAATTATTATTATTGTTTTTTTGTTTTTTTTATCATCTACTTACTCTCACATCGTCTCTAACCTGTATGACTTTTTTCTTCTGGGGAACATGAGAAATGCACTCTTGGAAATAAAGGTTCCAAAAGGATTTTCTTAGAGTGATGCCAAAAGAAGAATCATTATTAATTAAACGAACAGTTTTTATAAGAACCATTTATTTTTCTTGGTGTTAATAATCTAAAGAACATTTTTTTATACAGAACCTTTACTGTAATGGAATGTTAAAAGTTCTTCATGGAACAATTGTTACTAATAAAGAACCTTTATTATAGTGAGTGTGTTTCAGTTTTTTTTTGGTCATAAAATGAAAACCAATGGGCCCATGGTTATCAACAACACTCTTCAAAAGATTTTCTTTTGTGTTCCACAAAAGGTTATACAGGTTTAGAACAACATGTGGATGGGTAAATGATGACAGAATGTTCATTTTTGGGTGAACTATCCTATCCCTTTAAGATGGAAAGCTTCCAATAGGCTTCTTAACTAGTTTAACCAGCAAGACTTCTTTGGTCAACTAGCATCACCAGAAAGACCATGTTAACTGACTAGCTTCACTAACTAAGGTTTGCTGGCCATCAGCATGGCTATATGCTGGCCTGGCTGGTTTGACCAGCATCAAAACAGCACTAACCTACAAAGCCTGCTGGAAATTAAAGCTGTTTGATATGGTAGGGGTTTTTATAGTCAGTATTTCAAGACTTTGTAGTTTAATTAATTTTTATATTTGATTTTTATCAAATATAGTATAGTATGTCTTACCTCAGAAAAAGGTAACAATGATCACCACTAATGTAAAAGTATTCATTAGCAGTGGTATCACTTTTATTTCTATGAAAAGTGTAATTAATGAGAATTTAAGAGAACAATTTGATCAGGAAATGTCATGAACCAGATTTGAACTTTTGTTGCTTACATGAGCTCAAATAGTGGAGCATGTGTGAGTGCAACTTCATCAGCAAATGTACAGTGTCTGTTTCCATTGGATAGGTCTTATTCAGATCCCGCATGTGTTAAGATGTGACCTCTCAATCTCAGAAGGAGCAGAGGTCATGTCTCAAACATTTTGGTCAATAGTCTGTGATGACCTGACACATTAATGCTTCACACTCCACATGGCCCGAGAGCTACTGATCTGTTCATTAGCATCTTAAATACCGCTGCCAGAACTTAGTACCAATGCTCTTGTCAGTTCTAATGTAACAAGATTAAAATAAATACCTTAATACTTGCTTCCGTTATTGAAAATGCTTGACTTTAGAGGTTTTAATATTTTCGTAACAATGTATGTTTTAATAAATTTTGTGTAGCTTTTGAAGGGTAATTGAAAGGTACCTGTACTCTCTACCTGCTCTGTAGTGTTCATTAATCAGATTTTGTGTTGGTATTGCACATGCAGTTTTTATTGTCACAGTTGTGACTCTTATGCCAAAGGCTTTAAAAGCGATTGCTCCGAAGTAGTATAATCAACACATGTTTGCTTGTTGATGCCAAATCTGAAATTTGATCTTGGCATTAATTTTCTTCCTCACATGGCAAGACTTTCAGTGCATAACCATGCACACATGCAGATCTCTCTCTCTCTCTCTCTCTCTCTCTCTGTCTGTGTCTTGTCAGCTGCCTTCATTCTGTTTTGCTATCTATATTTAGCAGAGTCACATTCAAACACAATTCTGATAAAAGGAGATACACCCACTGAAATCACAACCTTCACATACTCGCTGAGACTTAAGCACATACCATAATCTTTGAGAAAATGAGAAATATTTACAGTACTGTTCAAACATTTGGGGGCAGTAAGATTTTTTTTAATGTTTATGAAAGAAGTCTCTTATGCTCACCCAGGATGCATAAAAACAGTAATATTATGAAATATTATTACAAATGAAAATAACTTGCTGTTTTAATAGCCTATATTTAAAAAATGTAATTTATTCCTGTTTTGGCAAAGATGAATTTTCAGAAATAATTACTACATTTCGATTCCATTCGGTCTTACTGACCCCAAACTTTTGAACAGTAAGTGTATATTATCAGAAATGTCACAGATCACACCCATTTGTTCTTGTTTAATATCTTGGAAATATGTCACATTATGGAAGTAAAATGAGTCGCATTGAATTTGATCACTTGAATATTGCTTTCAGTTTTTTACTAGTGCTGGGCTGATGTTTCCTAATGTTTTTCCTTTGTGTTGTATAAACAGTCGGACAGTAACACCAGCTTCCTGAGGGCAGCCAGGGCAGGTAATGTTGAAAAGGTGCTGGAGTTCCTCAAGAGCGGACAGGACATTTCCACATGCAACCAGGTAACTTTTTACATGAAACAGAATTTCAGTGTTGTAAAAATCAAAGAAATAATTGCAATGTCTTCTCATTTATTTTCTTCTCATCATATTTCATACTTTTTTTTACAATGCATTTCAAATGAATTCACCAATTGGAGGTTTTGCACACTGTTACATCTCAAGCCATTTAGATTATGTATTTATATGAATTTAATCTAATCTGTTGCAATAAAATCTATTGAGTAAAGCTGAATTTGAAGTCCATGGTTCTCCAGGAAGCAGGTATAGCCATAAACTTCTTTCCAGCTTAAGAGACATGTTCTGTCAACTCTGTGTTAGCTCCAAACTCTTTAGAAAGTCTTAGTAGATTGTGCTTTGTGAGTGGAGGATAATCCCGATTATTAGAAATGTGTATGCTTTTTTTACTTTGCTGTCCAGCCTGGGCACAGATTGCATTGTTATGATGTATAGCAATACTGATTCCTGACAAATGCTACATTGTCAGCATTATCAGCTAGTCCTCTGCCAAGCAGTTCTTTCTAGTACATCAAAGCCTTTTTACTCATGCGTGTCTCTGGCAGCTGTTCCCACTCCCGACCTTCTGTACCTTCTGCTTAACTAAACCCTCCCACTGTCACAGCACTGCTGTGTTCAACCATTCCTTACAAATTACCCCTGGCATAACAATGCACTGATATCACAGAATATATTGAAGCTAATTGATCTTCAGTCTTAAAATGTGTGAAGTCCATGTTAAACTGATTTCTTTTGAAATCAAACATAGTCAAATGCAAACATGCATGCATAAAAAAAAACAAAAAAACATTTCCTTATCTAGTCATATATACACTCAGAAAAGAAGATACAAAACTGTCAGTGGAGTGGTACGTACTAAGATGTACTTTTATGAATTAATATGTATAATTTAGGGGTAAATAATGTACAAAGATGTGCTTTTTAACTTTTGTACCTTAGGGTATTGCCCGAATGACAACTTTTTACCTTTTTTTCAGAGAGTGTATTATTAAATTGTCCTTTTATGAATGTACAGGAAATACCACATGCAAAATACATTCAGTGAGGTTTGGCACAGACACGACCTACAAAATTTTCAACCAATCATCTTCACAGTGTTGGTTTTAGCAAGGTGTGCCAACTGCCAAACAAATACTCTTGAGCCATGGAACCAACATGCAAAAAAAGAGAAAAACAGTGTTTTAAGTGCCTTAAAGTTACAGTAAAAAAATTTTTATGATTGTAGAATAAGGCACATTTCACTAAGTCTGACTGCCATGTGTCCAAATGAAATAGTATATATGCTGATACATGATATTTACATTTACATTTAGTCATTTAGCAGACGCTTTTATCCAAAGCGACTTACAAATGAGGACAATAAAAGCAGTCAAAACTAACAAAAGAGCAACAATATATAAGTGCAAATGACAAGTCTCGGTTAGCCTAACGCAGTACACGTAGCAAGGTGTGTATATATATATGTAGATAGAATAGAAAAAATAGAAAGCTAGTTTTTATTTGTTGTTTTTTTTTTTAAATAAAGAATAAAAAAAATAAAAAAGATAAATATAGATAAAGTAGAATTAAAATAGAATAGAAAGTGTTAGAGTTATAAACAACCCTTTGTGAAATATTTCCCTTGAAAAGTGTCATTGTGCTGTTTATGTATTTTTTATTTTATTTTTATTTTTTTTACATTAAATGCAACTGGACGTGAAATAGCAAAAAAAAAAATTAATGTAAGTGACAGGTCTAGTCAAACTAGCAACAATAAAAAAAAGTCCTATATAATTTAATTAGTTTATTCAAATTTTCAGTTGAAATGGACTGAAATGACATCAGAGACAAATGTCATGGGGTTGCTATGACCCCTTTATTATGTAATGGGCTGAATTTGCCTCTGCTATGATGTATAATAGATTTGACCATGACATTATCCATTATGATGTCATCTGGAGTCACCAGTAATGAGCACATCAGTACAACAATGGACGGGCATTCCATGCTGTTTTCTCTAAAATCCACTCTTCTAATCCTCGCTGAGTGATATTGCAATATAATCTGCCCATGGTTTATCTATTTTTTTTTCTTTCCACTCTTACCGAAATCTCTCTGTCCGGATGTGAAAACTCCTCCAGCTTTCATTATCCAAATAAATGAGATTAGGTTTTCTCTAAAATCCACTCTTCTAATCCTCGCTGAGTGATATTGCAATATAATCTGCCCATGGTTTATCTATTTTTTTTCTTTCCACTCTTACCGAAATCTCTCTCTCCGGATGTGAAAACTCCTCCAGCTTTCATTATCCAAATAAATGAGATTACCGTTTCGTTAACTCTCTCTGCTTTTAATGACGAGTCTGACTGTTAGCCACACTGCGTTACACAAGAGCTGTCATGATTTACCCATCAAGCACAGAATGAGGTGCATTAGTAAATTAAGACAGGTGGTGATGTTTGAATAAAGGGAATGCTTATTTACAGCTTGAGAAAAATGGATTAAACACTAAAATTCAATTTTTAAACATGTAAGCTTGATTTACGAATAAGTGACTTTTTACATGATATAATGAAAATCACATATTTCATAATGACTCAGATTCACAATGACCATTTTTCTGGTCATCGCACTAAAATATAAAAAAGGCTGTTGCCAAATTTAGCCATAGTAAATCTGTGATAATTGTTCTTTACAAATAGGATTTTCAAGCAAGAGATAAAATAAAATAAAATAAAATAAAATAAAATAAATGGATTAAACACTAAAATTCAATTTTTAAACATGTAAGCTTGATTTACGAATAAGTGACTTTTTACATGATATAATGAAAATCACATATTTCATAATGACTCAGATTCACAATGACCATTTTTCTGGTCATCGCACTAAAATATAAAAAAGGCTGTTGCCAAATTTAGCCATAGTAAATCTGTGATAATTGTTCTTTACAAATAGGATTTTCAAGCAAGAGATAAAATAAAATAAAATAAAATAAAATAAATTAAATAAATTAAATTAAATTAAATTAAATTGTTATACTATATTATGTTCTAATATATTCAACATGAAATTTCCATAATCTTTATTTTTTGTAGTTAATCTTTTTCAGCTATACGTAACGATTCTCCAATTAATGAACTCAGAGAATGTAGCTCAGAGATCTAGTATAGGAAACATTTTTATTCTAGCATTATAAAATTACCCTTCCAAAAGTCTGTTTTTTAATGCAACTTGTATATTGCTATTATTTATCATGAGCAAAATTTGTTGTTGTCTTGTTCTGTATTGTATCCTAATATCAAATCTGTACCGATTGTATTAATCAGGAAAACGTATTAATCACGTCTCCCTCTGTGCATAGAATGGACTCAATGCGCTTCATCTAGCAGCCAAAGAGGGTCACGTGGAGCTGGTGGAGGAACTTGTGGAGAGGGGTGCGACCGTGGACTCTTCAACCAAGGTTAAACACACATAAACACTGATAAATTGGAGGGAGGGGTATGTGATTGCCAAATGGCGAGAGAGAGAGTAAATCTGACGGAATGCCAGTCATCCAGCACTGTGTATGATGAGTACAGTTGGACTCTGGTGACTCCTGTCATCTGACACACAGGGCTAAACAGACACACCCACACAAGCCAGGAACTATAAACACATGACCAGCAATCACACTGACAGCAAGGAGTTCTATGAGGACAAAAGCTATTGAGACTTTGTGTTGGGCAGAAATGTGATTGTTTTAGTGTATTTCATTCATTTGTTTTATTATGGACTAGATTGGTAAAAGTCCTTTTTAAGATTTCTGCAGATCAGGACAAATGTCTCATATAGTCCGAAGTCCTCATTTGCAAATAGCTGTTCTTGTTTTATGCATACACTGTAATAAAAGTATGTAAAAATACAGCTCATATGTACTGTGTCACAAATATGGAATTTTCCATATTGTTTTCTTACAGCTGTTTATCCATTTTTCCATTTATTTCTTACAGTGTAAACATCACTGAATTGTGTTAAATTTATTCATTAAAAAAAGTTTAAAAATTGCTTTTGGTGTAAGGAAAAAAACTTGAAATTAAATTTTGCATCTGAAATAAATGTGATATTTTGTTATAGATATTTTTATTTTTAGAATGTATTTATTAATTTATAAATGTGAGATTTATAAGGTAAAGCAAGCCCACGATACTTTTTTCCCCCCTTTTTTCAGTGTTGTCCTTTTGTGCTTTTAATGATTCACACCAGTACCAGTAAATTCAAACACAAACAAGTGCACAATCACAGTGAATATGTATCTCTCTTTCCTCCTCTCCAGAAAGGGAACACAGCATTGCACATTGCTTGTCTAGCTGGGCAGAAAGAAGTTGCGAAGTTGTTGGTGAAAAGAGGAGCAGATGTAAACTCGCAATCACAGGTGGGAAAATCCTATAAAATTATAATAATATTTATAATTTTTAATTAATAGTTTTAAAATATATAATTTTATTTCATATGATTAAAATGTAATTCAATAAAATGTTATAATGTTAAGCTTTATGGTACCTGTTGTTACTACAGAATGGCTTCACTCCACTTTATATGGCTGCTCAAGAGAATCACCTGGATGTTGTGCAATATCTTCTGGAGAATGGTGGAAACCAGAGCATGGCCACAGAGGTTTGTGATTGTAAGGGTTGTGTGTGTGTGTGTGTGTGTGTGTGTTTTATATTTTCATGACTGTCACTTAATATGTCACAGAAGTAGCATACTGTATATTTGTGTGTGATTGCAAGGGTTGTGTGTGTGTGTGTGTGTGTGTGTGTTTCCATTCATTGCAACATGCCCATACAAGTAGTACCTGTGTCTAAAAAGAGGAGAATCTTTACACATTTCCATGCATGGACTGAGATTTTGATACCTTGCTTATTTTCTTTGTACATACATATGTGACCCTGGACCACAAAACCAGTCTTAAGTCGCTGGGGT